TTGTCAAGGAGAGAATCCTTCTTGTTACTTGTAACACCCTTATCTTAAAGAAACACATATATAATTAAGTTTAATAAAACTACTATAAAGCATAGTAAATAGCTATATACCTAGCTATATTCTTAAGAATTGATTTAACATTCACGTCGTTATTCTCTTTTAGAAGTAAATTCTTATTCTTACATAATAACACGGTTATATTGATGTTTAAATCCTAGGTCCAAAAGGCGTTGACGGTTCTGGGAATGGCCGCTTAGAAGGCTGAGTAATCATTATTTAACATCTCAGCTTACTAGAGTCACTTGTTGTTTTCGTTAAACTTAAATGTTTAAACTTCACATTGGTAATAAGTACAGAGCGGGGTATGGATCTAGATTTGTGTGGGTGTCAGCACAATTTTCGGTGGTAATCAATGTATCCCTGTTAGCGAAAACTTTCACAGTCAAACTCATGAAAGGATAGTAAGTAGTATGAAGGCTGGCGGTAATGTCTGTACGTATATCCTGGTTCATACGGTTATCTTAACTTTATCAGTCTCTTAATGCGGTATTCAAGTCGCATGTTTAACCGGACGAAGTAAGTTCATTGCCCCTAAACTCTAAGTTGGAATATAAGCTGTTATATTACCTAAGGATATTGGAGGTAGGATATATAAAATCCAACGCATGTCAAACTATCTGCATCAACACAGTATCAGCCTATGTATCAGATTCTCGCTTCTCAAGTCTAGAAATCAATCTTTGCAATACGCATTCTACATCCAGTCTTCAGCATCCGTCGAATATGCTCCTTCTTAACAACTTCGTCAACATCATAACCCTGATTGGGGCTATGATGTCATTCCAAGTTCAAGGTCTGGCGGTAGATCTGCCAACGGCTCTGAGCAAACGCCAGGGACAATGCCTCTCGAGACGTCGTGCCATCGCTGCAGCAGGCTACCTTGGCACCTGGACTATTGACGTCTCTGAAGTGGGTAATGGAATATTTCATCGACCAGTGCCATATCCAGATATCGGGTTGGTTACGGATATAGCGAGCGCGGAAGCCGACACCATGAGATTCCGGTGGCAAGGGGCTTCGACCATGCCGAGAAACACCAACTATTTCTTGGTTCCTGGCGATTATCTGCGAGAGAATGGTGTCCCTGCGAGCAGTCCGAATATAGTTCACCTAACCACACACAGCGAATGTGACGTCACCTACGATCGTGGTGCTGGTGTCACTGCAGTGTCTGTAAAAGTGTATCGCGTTATAAATTAGAAGGAAGATATTATAAGTTAGCGGTAAGGGTTTAAGTAAGAGACAAATCTAAATGGTCTTTTATACTGGAATTAAGCTACAATTAAGAAACTAGGTTTTCACAATAGCGAAGACCACACTGTTATGGGCGAAGAGGCCTTCGAACGAGTTTGCATTAGCCTATAGTACAGAAGAAGAAAGATAAGAAGAGTTAAGCTGTCGTACGACACTTCTCTCTTTATACCCCCGCTTCTACGTTCTTCGTACGAGTAAGGTTCTAGCTAGGCGGTGTATTATAGGCACGTGATACAATCACGTGCTTTCACTCTACGGGCGCAGCCCATTACACACACTACATGCGTATTTGTTAGATATTACTCTAGAGAGCTAGGCTCACTATAGAGGTTACAACTAAAAAGGTTACACCGGTAGTGACTATACGACAGATCACGTGCCTAGTCACGTGGCTTAGTAAGGTAGTACACTAGGTTATAATCCAGCCTACGTACAACTGAAAAAGAGTAGTATCGATAGACAAGTATATAAAATAGAGGCTAATTTATTATTTAGAGCATAGATCTATATCTATCTTATAGTATAAATTACTACATAAATATTATTAAGCTAGTCTCTATTTCTACTTACTTATTACACGGTGTTACACGGGGTTTGGAGTGCTAATACTTCTCTGGCTCGATCCGGGTTAGGGCGAGTAGGATTGGGGTTAGCGCCGTGAGAGTTGCCTGGCGA